TGATTGTTGTCAGAGAACTCGACAAGTGTGTGCTATTTATCACAAATTAATTAATGAGGGAGAAAAGTCAATGATTCTTGAAATAGTGAACATAGGTTATACTATTAATGATATTGAGGCATTACCGTGCGGTCTTGCACTTCCTTTACGTGAAGCTATAAGGAAATGTCGAGAAGATCCTCCAAGCGATTGGCCTGGAGAAGCCTATATACTTGTTGGTATGTACATTTAAATTTACATTAATTTTTTTAATTATGAAGTAAGCTTTATACTATTTAATTTGTTAATAACATTTTCAGGTCGAGAAGACTTAGCTGAATTAACGTTTGGAATGCCGATTGGTTATATACATGCCCGTGGTAACAGAATGGTATTATATTAAAAAATATAAGTAATTGGTATTTTATAAAGTTTATTATTAATTAAGGTCTTAAAAAAAAAATTCAGGAAATGAAACCAAAAAATATTATGCAAATTGTTGAATCGACAATACCTCCGATTTCACCACAAGATCAGAATGAAGATATTAATGGAACAGAGATATCAAATCATGAAATAACAGATCTAAGGTTTGGCAATGATAAACGATTGCTAGAAGTACAAAAGCTTTTACAATCTTGTAATACTATCAAAGTTGACATTCCTACAGTAGATTTAAGGTATGAAACTCTTGAGGTGAAGATGATTTTGCATTTAAACATTAACTTATTTTATTTTACAAAATTAGTAGCCAAAATGACGAAAATTCGCCACAGATTCTTGAACGTGTTCAAATTCAATGCTTGAAAAATTTTTCGCATCCAGTTGGCCGTGCAGTCTTAACTTATAGCACTGTTACACCAATAGCCACGGAACCTTTTCCGATTCCTGGATTAAGTTTGGCAATCAAAGTTTTGCCTTTCAACACTCTTGTTCAAGTTGAGCGGGCACTTCGACTACCAGAATCTGCAGAATGGCCAGAGTTTCATGATGGTGTAGCATCGGGTTTAAGAATTCCTTCAACCATTGACATCGAAGGGTCATGGATTTCTCTTAACAAGCCCAAGGAATTAACAAATAGCCATGCCGGATTTCTTTTGGGATTAGGATTGAATGGTCATTTGAAGTCTATGGCAACATGGCAAGCAGTCGAATATTTGATGAAGACACCTAAACATGATATTACAACCATTGCTTTAGTACTTGGTCTACCAGCTTCTTATATTGGAACGATGAATGCTGAAATTATGAAATTTATAGCTGTTCATGTTACTGCTATGTTCCCACCAAAATCTACTAGTTTGAATGTATCACCTTTGATTCAAACAGCGTCTATTCTTGGCTGTGGATTACTCTATATGGGAACATGTGATCGATACATGTCTCAGGTGATGTTATCTGAAATTTCGACCAAAGCTTTAAAAATGTCAGATAGTTCTGAAACTGATTTTACAGAAGGTTACTCACTTGCTGCTGGATTAGCACTTGGATTCATAAATTTGGGTCAAGGTGATAGTACGCGTGCGTCTATTGACCTTGATTTGCTCAAAGAATTAAGATTATATATTTCTGGTGATAAGTATACAACAAAAAAATTATCAACATCAACGCATAATACGAATGTTAGGGCTGATAACATTAACATTAACATTACATCACCAGGAGCGACGATAGCTCTTGGATTATTATATTTGAAAAGCAATAATGCTAGTGTTGCAAACAAAATTCCTATTCCTGAAACCGAATTTTTTTTGGATTATGTACGACCAGATTTTCTTTTGATCCGAACACTTGCAAGAAATTTGATAATGTGGGATAATATTCAATCTACAAAAGAATGGGTTGAAAGTCATGTACCTCAATATATAAAATCAAAGTTGACACCTAACCCTGATATCAATTATGAAAATATTGAATCTATTAAGAGATCATATTATTATATATTATCAGGAGCTTGTTTCAGTATGGCACTTAAATATGCTGGATCTGATGATAAAAAGGCCCTTAAATGTTTACTTTCTTATCTCGATTTATTTATTGGATTAGAGAGTACAAGAACAAGAGGTAATATTTTCGGTTAAAATTTATGATTGTATATATAGATTCTGATTTATACTCGTAAATTTTTTAGCATCAACGTTTGATGAAAATATTACAATGTCGGCTATCAAATCTTGTTTGAACGTTTTATCTATGAGCGTTTCAATAGTTGCTGCAGGTAGCGGAAATTTAGAAGTTTTACGAAGAATACGTAAACTTCATCGACAAGAAGTTGATACTAGTAATTCAAGTACTATTTCACATTCATATGGAACACATATGGTAACGAGTATGGCATTAGGATTCTTATTTCTTGGAGGAGGAAATTCTACACTTTCAACGTCTAATAAAGCGATAGCAGGATTAGTTTGTGCATTATTTCCAAGATATCCAATTGAGCCATATGATAATAGGGCACATTTGCAAGCTTTTAGACACTTGTGGGTATTGGCGGTTGAACCAAGATGTTTAGTTTTAAGGGATATTGAGACTAGGGAGGCTTGTCACGTTCCTGTAAAACTTGTATTTAAAGATTATTATAATGCTATAAAAGTAATAAGAGATGATGATAGAAAAGAAATTTTAGTTGATAGTAAAAGCAAAGTAATAGTTGCACCTTGCTTGTTACCTGAATCAAATTTTATTCAAACAATTGAAATTGATAGCCCAAGATATTGGCCTATAAAATTGGAATTTGGAAAAAATATAGAATTTGATCGCAAATTTTGGAAAGATCCAACTATATATACAAAAAGAAAGATTGGACATCTAACGTATACAGAGGTAAAGTTTACTCGATACTACTATTATAATTTTTTTGTGATACCGTATAAATTAATATATATATATATATTTATATATTTTTATTTTTTTTAGGATCCTCAAGGTCTACGTAATTTACTCACGCGTATTTTTCCTGATGGTAAATCATTGGTGGATACTAGAAATCAAGCAACTTTTAGGCGACAAAATCTTGATTTTATTAGAATTTTTTCATCTGATCCGCAAGTACAAGCATTTACACGATACCTTTGTGAAGATTTTAATGCTAATGATGGTGGACAAGCATTATCAGCATTCTGTACAGGAATCCTTTCAGAATGCTTGAATGAAGATAAAGTGGAGGCGATTCAAATTTATCAAAAGCTTTATCAAATTCAACAAGACATGGAGGGAATTAATGAGATGGATTTATGGAATGTTATGTTAGTTCTTGAGTATTATGAAAACATACCAGAAATAATATATCGCAATGAGGATAATACAGAAAAACATCAAAAAAACAAGAATCGATTAACTGAGAAGATGCTTATTAAGAAAGAATTTATAGCATCTTTAAGGCGTATAATGGAGAGATATTTCGAAATTTCTTTTGATACTTTTATATTTTTTCTAATTCAATATTCATCGACATCAAGCACAGCCGACACAAATACCAGTCAAGTACAAAGATATTTTTCAAAAATCTTATATTCCTATTTTACGAATACAGAATTTCCACCTGCCGAACAACTTGGAGGAGAAGAGAGTAAAAGGAAATTATTGCAATATTTAGCGACATGGCTTATTTATCATGAGATACCAGATAAATATATATTATTAGATTCTATGAAATATGTTAGAGAATTAAAAGAAAAATTAAGCATTGAAATGATTCAAGGTGAAATAACAAAAGATGATGTAGTATTTCAAATACTTTCAACGTTTTGGCCGAACCTTTCTATAAATACATTAAAGATTATACAATATTGTTTGAACTAATTTTATTAGTTGTTTTTTATAATCAAAATGTTTGATAATTTGTAAATATTGTTAATGCTTTTATCAAAAAAAAAATACTAAACATTTGTGTTTCGCATAAAAAATTACAATGTATCTTTTATTTTAATTCATGAAATAAAATGTGTTTTTTTTGCCTTATAAGACTTTACATAAATCTTATTTATTAAAAGAGCTATTCAGTACAAACGAATTTAAGAATAAGAAAAAAATCTCTAACGAAATAAAAGAAAAAATAAAAGATACTACCCTTGCAATTAACAGAAGAAAGAAAAAAAAAAAAAGGACAAAAGAATTCGTAGAAACATATAAAAATTATATGATGATAAAAAAACAATATTATGCAAATAGCAATGTTCTACTTTATATTAATTTTTTATTTTTATATGCTTCTTAAATAAGGCAACCCTCCTTTAAACGAATCTAACATTTCCTTTACTTAGAGCTTGTGTATTTAGTAACAGCCTTGGTACCTTCGGATACCGCATGTTTTGCCAATTCACCGGGTAAGATCAAACGAACGGCAGTTTGGATTTCCCGAGAAGAAATAGTTGATCTTTTGTTGTAAGCCGCAAGTTTAGAAGCTTCACCGGAAATACGTTCGAAAATGTCGTTGACAAAAGAGTTGAGGATTGACATAGCTTTGTTGGAAATACCAGTATCGGGATGTACTTGCTTGAGAACTTTGTAAATGTAGCTTGAATATGTTTCCTTTCTAACTTTACGTTTCTTGGATTTTTCACCAGGGGCAGTAGATTTCTTAGTATCTTTCTTCTCAGAAGGAGCTTTGGTGGCAGGGGCTTTACCAGCAGTAGCAGGTTTCTTTTCGGCTTTCAAACCCATTGTTGATTGTTGATTTGATTCGTAAAAGTATCGAAGGAATTAAGAAAATAGTTTTTATTTACAAGGAAAATTGACTTTGAATTGTTAAAAGATATAATATTCGTAAAATAATAAAAAGTTAGTCAGGTTTGAGGTCTTTTTATATAAAAAACACAATTAAGATCAGGACACGTAAAATCGCGCTTTGTGTTTTGATTCGTTTGATTCGTTTTGATTTTATATATTTTAAGTAAAAAAAAAATCCAAATATGGTTTTAATTACTATATTTGAAAGAATTAGTCTAAATTTGTAACAAAGTCACGCGTAAGGAAACTCGTGACGCGTATGATTAACTTAAATGGTGGCTTATCCAAATAACGTGCTCGTGTAATTGCTTTTATTGTTTGGATGGATTGTTTTGTTCGACCTTTACAGACACGTTACCCAAATCATCTGGTTTGTTTACATCATCATCATCCGATTAATGATCTGTGACTTAAAGCGCGGCGTAGAAATTTACTATAAAATCACTGCCATTTCCCTAACTTGATTTTTTTTAATTTTTTCCAAGAATCGTTGACTTGAAAGATTTACCCATTAAGTCTTATTTATCACACCTAACGTTTAACATCTCAATATATATACTATTACAACATGTCTTCTGGAGGAAAGTCCGGTGGAAAAGCTGCAGCTTCTGCTCCCGCCAAAGCTAGCTCATCTCGTTCAGCTAAAGCAGGTCTTCAATTTCCAGTAGGTCGTATTCACCGTTTACTTCGTAAAGGGAATTATGCTCAAAGAGTTGGTGCCGGTGCTCCTGTTTATCTTGCTGCCGTCCTTGAATATCTTGCTGCTGAAATTCTTGAACTTGCTGGTAATGCTGCCCGTGATAATAAAAAGTCAAGAATTATTCCTCGTCACCTTCAACTTGCCATTCGTAACGACGAAGAGTTGAACAAGTTACTTGGTCATGTTACAATCGCTCAAGGTGGTGTTTTACCAAATATTCACCAAAATCTCTTGCCGAAGAAATCGAAGAAGGGTGCCGCCGCAGCTGAAGCATAAAGAAGTTTTAAACATTTAGGGAAGAAATTAAATGAACATTTAATGTTTGAATTTTATTCCTTTTATATTTCTTTTTTCTCACTTTAAAAGTTCGTTTTAAGTTTATCTACTTTCAGATATTTTTTTCATAAAAAGTTACTTGCATACTTCTTTTGTAAAACGACTTAATACTTATAATACGGTACTAGACATGCCTTTTATCTTTTATATTTTTTTCATTTTACTTTTTCAAATCATGTATATAAAAAAAAAACATGTATAGAAGGTAAAAAGAAATTCTCAATTTTTTTTTCCTTTTTTTTTTTTTTTTCTTTCTACTGCGTGAACATTGTTTTCTTAAATTTTATGATGTTTCTTTGCAAATAAAGAATTTCAACTGTTAAGCTTTAAAAATGTTAGTTGTAATATCGTTTTCTTCAATTACTTTAGTAGTTTGAGAGATACGAAATGTTGTTAAATTTTTTCAAGTTTTTTTTTTCTTTTTTTTTTTTTTTACTATTATAATACCGATCTGAAACACGAACAACAATATTAAAATCTTTAATAATAAAATGCGAAATTCGATCTTTTAAAATTATTATAATAAATTGTGAAGAATTGGTCGTTAATCAATATATAATCCAGAAAAATGAAAATTACTTAATTTTCTCACATCATCTAAAATGAAAAAAAATTAAATATAACGTTAGAATGTTAAAGGCTTTATTCGAATAAATTAAAAAATTATTACCTTCGACCTCCATCAAAGAAACTTCTTTTTTAGGTACAACAACATATAACATTCGACCGTCAGATCTTCTACCCACAATCCAAAAATTCGTTGTTGATCGTGTATAAATTTCTGTTAAATGTGGATACCTTGAAAATAACTCATTATCAATAAAACTTTAAATTAATTAAGATCAATAAAGATTATAAAATGAAACTTACTTTTCTAGATCTTCATGTAAATCACATAATGCATGTGCCATTTCGCTAGTGATGGTTAATCCTTTGGATGATGATGTTCCATTAGAGGCAGTAGATGGATAAAGTGATGATTTAATGGCCAAATTAAGTTTATTAAAAAACACATAGCGATATTCTTTATCTGTATCAGATCTGATAAAAGCTCTTAATTCAGTAATTGTTTAAAAAATTTAAAAATCTGTATATTATATTAAATAACAAAAATCTTAATAAATACCCAAGTTTTTTAGAATGTTCATAATCTTCATTCATGATTTTTATAATATCATCTGAATTTGATGATAAATATTTGTGTATAGATTTGTAAAATGTTATATCATAAACTTTTGTATTGCCTTCTGGCAAGGTATTCGGTATTAGAAAAACGAGTGTAAGATCATTTTGCTGATGAATTTAATTAAAAATTTTTCAGAATAATTTACTTAAAAGAACCAATAAATAAGTATTATTATTATTGATCTACCTTGTATGCAACGAGAAAATATTCTTCAACATTGCCTTCGTATTCATCATCGGTTTCATTGATATCATCTTCGAAGGTATCAGTTACCTTTTTGGTCAAATATACCTTCAAAGGTTTTATGCCGTTATCATCTACATTCAAATGTGATGGTCCCAACAAGAAATTTGTAGATGGTGTCAAATTCGACGAAGAATGTGATGTATCATGTTGAGTTGATGAATTACTAGCATACGTGTTGTTAGGCGGTGATGAACTTGGAGAAATGGTTGATGAAAAATATGAAAAGAGGTTACTTCCAGAGAAATTTCGGGTAAAACCTTTGAGTGATAACTAAGTAAAAAAAAAAAAAAAAAAAAATGCATGAAACTTAACCTAAAATAATCTATTTGTAAAAGCATTCACTAAAAAGTGAACGTACCTTTTCAGCTTCTTTAGATTTCTTTTTTTTCTCAAGTAGTTCTCTTTCAAGTGCATCTCTCTCTGATATCAAAGGAACTAGATGTCGTAATATGCTCTTTAAGTCATTTTCTGATATACATCTATTTCCATCACCATTGTATACCAATTTATTTTGCCACAATACAATTATCTCTGATATAAATTTGTACTCCGTTTGAATCTGTTCGACAAATGATGAAACCTTCGCAATGGCTGAATTGGAAAGTGGAAGGTAAAAAATACCTATTTTTATAGTAATAAATATAGATATAATTAAATGAATCTTACATAATCTTACATAATTCAGCTTTAACAAAGCTTTCTTAATTTATTTTAATTTATTTTTTTTTTTTGTTAAGAATGCTGACCATCAATTGTCTTTGTCAATTCTGTTTTATCAAAATCCCATTCAAGAACCCAATTTGAGAAAAATTCTTCCAATTTAATTCTTAAAGCCTTTACTCCCAAAGTTTTTACTGTCGATTCAAAAGTACCATTGAATACCTAAAACATTTTTAAGTTTTTTTTCTTATAATGTTATCAAAAAATTGTATTTAAATTAATTCATCACTTACTCTATACATTTCGTACCCCATTTCAAGCATCCTTTTTATTCCTGAATCATGTAAATTCGAATCGAGATATTCAGTGACAGTTTTCGGTTTACCATCTTTATCCTTCGTTAATTTTTTCATGCAGCCTAATTCGATGGACTTTAATTTGTAAAAATAATCAAAAATTTTTTTTTTTAAAAAAGAAAAAAAAATAAAAATAAAATTGTACAAAAATCAATTTTCTTTCTTACTTATTTGGATGACTTACAACATATATCCAATAATTTTTTTCCGGTTCATGAAATACCATTCGATTTTTTTGTGTATGAACATTTTCACAAGCCTTTGCTGGAGAGAATGCCCTACGTTGTGGAGCAAAAATTATATTTCAATTATAATATTTCATCGGATCACTAAACTTTCACCAGCGATATATATTTTTTTTAAAGTATAACCACAAAAAAAGCTAACCTTGTAAAGTTAATTAAGCCCTGAGCCAAGCCAATTTGACGCATTTTGACGTCCATTGAAACTGTTTTCTTTGCTACATAATATAATAATTGATCTTGCTGTGTTTCTTCTGTAGGCCCAAAGGTAGGATTATATATTGCAAAATGATTGAGACTTGGCGGAACGGCAACTGAACCATAAGAACTTGGTATTTCCATTATGTAGGACGTTCACAAGTGAAAAATCATGAATTAAATGATTTTTTTCGTAAAAATTTTCGGACTTTATTTGACCATTAGGGTACTCCAAAGTCACAAACGTATAATTGATAAACTGATATCTAATCTTGTGCATACTGATAATACTGATATGACTGAATTTATATTGTATAATTTTCATATCTACTTTTGGTTAGGCTATTTCTGTGAATTGTCGCTTAACACCTGTTGTTAAATTGAAATTTGAAACTGAATTACTGTATGTTTCATATTAAAATGATAATGTCAAGGACTAGCTAGTTCGTCTCGGATTACCAAAGCGATTTAAAAGATGTAAGTTATACTTTGTTAGATGAAACTTGGAGGTTTCGTCAAAGACGAAAAGGGATCCCAGTTTTGACTTTTATCAAAATTTTAAAGGTGAAATTGTTGAAACTGGCGAAAATGTAAAAAAAATACTGGCAAAGGTAAAATTTACAAACGATGCCAAATTCAAATATTGTATTTTTTCTTAACTAAATAATACTTTTTTTATAAAATATACTGAATATCAATTATTTCATTTCTTAATATATAGACCAATATAGACAAATTTGTTTGCATTTTGTATTTTTTTAGTTCTGATTTATTTTTTTAAATTGCCAAAATATTTTGTATAAGGCCATGCAAAGTTAATTAATTGGTTCTCATAACCCGGCCGGGTCAAATTTTGAAATTTTTGTAAAAATTTTTTTATATGTTTTACAGCTGTTCTCATAAATTTTGGGACATCTGGTAAAAAAATTGACCGAAAGATTATTTGGCCGATTCGATAAGTTTTTGATTCGGCAGTGATAAACTTTTGATTTACAGCTGTTTTCATAAATTCTGGGACACCTAAAAATTTTCTCGTTTCCCGAAACCTCTTCGATCTCATTCTAAG